ACATATTTAACAGCAAAACGGTTTCTGATGGCTGTCAGTAGAGAACCCATTCTGAGTGCACATATCATAGCCAAAAAAGGACCACAACTGCATATGTATCATGCACCGTAATTCATACAGTAGAACTTCCCATTATTCACTTACGATGAATTTATAAGCAGTAAGTCAAAACGATTACCTACAGTAGGTGATCCGACAAGATTCGCAACACCAAGAAACAGGAAAATCCATCCAGTGGCGGTCGTTAAATTGTTCAGGCCCATTAGCTCGATGCAGACGATCGAACGTAGCGAAGTGTAGCAGGCTTAAAAAAGGCAGTGCATGCAGAATTGCAGCAAAATGTGTTTATTTCTAAGACACGGTTATGTTTTAAACGAATGCATCCATGTAAATCAGTCTATGCTTTTTTTAGATGATTTATCCGATGGAAGCTATTGAAAATTTTGCTAAACAGCAACAAGGGTCATACCGTCTGCCAGTCATCAAACTTAATCAAGGCTACCTTCCAGGCTTCTATAACTTTCTCACTGAGATCACGCAGACTAATCAAGATATCATGGTGTTAACACTGCTGCAACAACAGTCTCAGCGTGGCGTTAGACTGTCGTCACAAAATTGCGCCTTTTGTGCCTCTGCAGCAACTTCCTCGGGATATGGCAACAAACTACCATGAGGCAAAGCCCTTTGCACCTCCATTTGAAACTCGCCATCCTGATTCACTCAGAAACCACCTTACAAAGTACGAGAGTTTCTTGTGCATTTCTAATGATGGTCAGTGCAACAGTATCTGTGCGACCAGCGCCTTCTCTCGTATTCGCTGTTCACTACAAGCCATAGCTTCTAGCGGTTGCAACGGTTGTCCCAAATCTTTGTGTGTATTGTTTTCCACCTACCTGCATTCCAATAGCACTCAGTGTTTTTCCAACTGTTGTAGTCTGTCCAGCCCTTTTAATGCGTCCCATGCTGCAAACTGCGCTCGATGAATCGCACTGAAAGATGTTTTTCTCCATTCTTCATCTTTTTCAAATTTGTCCTGATAGCAAACTCAATTTACAGGACCGTTATTGATGAAATCTGAGTCATTATCGGTGATTGGCACAAAGCACATTCACCGTTTAGGGCTCATCACAGTCCTTCGTGACAACCCTCTCAGTAGGGAAGAATGGAATTCAACCATTCTTCCCTCTGACCACCAATTCTTGCCAGCCTTGCATCTGACGTCGTCCAGATGGTCGCGGCTCTGACTGGAGGTTGGATTTTGAGGAACAATATAAGTTTGTATAATTAATAGTTGTAAAACCCGTGTTGATGCAAGCTCGAGGTTATACTATCAAATAACGTTTACGTACCGCAAGCTGTTCCGAAAAACACACTGTAGATAACCAATTGCCAATAGCTAGTGAAATGAGGAAGCAGCAGCGTTGCAACGCCCCCAAGGAGAATCGAGACATTCTGGACTACGATCGCGTCGACATTAGGTCTGTCTGCAATCAGTCCGACCAACACCCTGGCGGCAGTGTTCACTACTCCAATAATGGACACCAGTAAGCTTGCGTTCTGTGAAGAATGTCCAATAAGAATGGCAAACATCGGCAGGTAGGTGAATGGCACGAAAAATCCAAATGACATCAGGGATCCGCTGAACACCCAAACGAGGAATGTGGGACTCATGAAAAGCTTCAGGTCTAGCATTTGCTTCAAGGATGACCAAAGAGTCATCAAAATCCCTTCAGATTCGATTACCTCCGTCGTCTGTTGTTCTTTGGAGCACTCGCAGGGGGTCAGTCTTGGTTTATAACGCGTGCCAATGGTATTCTGTCGAGAAAGGTTCGGTGAGAAGATATCCATTCTGTTCAAAGGTTGATTGATGGTTGCAATACTGCCCTGACTCAACTTGCGTAGAGTCCTTCGGTCAATCAAATTTTCTGAATCAAATTCCTGAAACAAGCACAAATGAATGCAAGGTAGAAAAAATGTAGCATTCGGTACCGATGTGATGCAACTACTGTAACGAAAGTACTCCTGTTGACCTAATTATAAGATTGAAAGTACAGAACCGTAATCAAATAAGAAACGGTAAGAAAATGAATGTGCATGTTTCGTCATTGATACAATAGTGTGCATGCAATCCTGACATGAGTAATTGCTGTCCGCCAGCACCTGACACTATTTAACTTTGGTAGCCATACAATCTTTCAATTGTGGAATTTCACATCACTGCCATGTCACCAATGCGGCGATCAAACAGCGAATGGGAGTGAGAGAAGGAAGAGACATCAGAGACAGGGGATGTAGCTCGGCTCACCGACAGGAGATGGCTGGCGATGATCGCCGGCTGGTGTAATTACGGGCGAACTAAGCTGCATCCTCGCCCACCTTGACGGAGGGAAATGACGCTATTGGACGCATAAATTTCCTCATTGCGAGGAAATATATATATATTTATATACGGTGATTTTCACCCATCCTTACCGACCGACTGACTGACTAGCTGACTAACTAACCTTGTACTCACCAGATCGACGGATATAGTACGCTTGACGAAGTTACTGTCTGGAACTGTAATGCTTTTCCGTCGTCCTGCAATGGAGCTGGACGTGGTCTGACCGGCAGAGGTAGCGATGGATGGACTTCTGGAACGGAACACCGACGATGCGCTGCTGATGGACGATGCTCTGGAAAGACTGGCAGTTGCCTGAATGACGGAGCCGGTGTCAAACGCCGTTGTGATGGTCTCGACCTTCTTCTCTCCACAACTTGCCATCACGTTCTCGACATTCTTTATCTGGTCAGCGGTGGGGTTCAAGGGTCTGTACAGCGTTACGCACACGTAGCATTGCATGGAGATGCCGGCCATCAAGACGCACATCTCCTGCCATGAATAATAAGAGTGCAGCAGCTCCAGAACAGGCGCGAACACCAGCTGTCCGAAGCCGGTGCCACCTGCAGCTATACCGAGAGCCAGAGCTCTTCGCTTTTTAAAATAAAAGCTGATAATCAGGACAGTTGGCATAAACAAGAACCCGAAACCCGTGCCTGAAAATGCAAGAACAAAATGCAATAAATCGATAGCCTTCACACAGTACTATGTCATCGTTTTCCGCTTGAGCATTTCTTTGTTCAACCCAATTAAGAGACGCGGTCTTGCGTCCTAAACACTGCAGGCTCTTAAATACCATGGATCCATGGCTACCCTAAATGGGCCCCCCTAGACTGCTAGAAGCAGTAGGGTAGTGAAATATTGCGGTATTTTCTAGTGTATGATTTTCATGTGTCTTACTCCACAGTAGTATCGGTGTAAAGTAAGAAATAATTTTTTTTGATATATTTTAAGTATTAAGCATGACAGAGTGTTTCTGCATTGGTGCCAAAGCATTTTGGTTACCGTTATGCAATCGACAAGAGCTAGCCAAAATCTGCTGTTCGACGTTCCCATCGTGAACGGCTTGCAACGGTCAAAGCTAAAGCTCTGATTGAAGGCTGAGGTTCAGCGTGACGAGTGATTCTGAGTCACTTGAACAATGAAATGGCGAACGAAATCGTCAATGATAGTATAACCTGCAAAATTCGCTGCTGCTCGCATTTTCAGGTAAGGCTGAAAACGCTCGAATGGCGAAGTATGCAGTACTTTGTGATGTCTGACTGTTAGAAATGATCCCAAGGTAAATACTCGACTAAACTCGTTGCTGCGGTAGGAGACACCTCTCTAAGCATTGTAACACTCTTCTGTTTACACACAAACGACACCTCGGTTAGAAACGGGGAACACAAGGTCTGGAATCCGTAGTATGTGTTAATTGCAAAATACGTCGCGAATAAATAGCTTACAAGCTGTCTTCCCTCAAACCGAAAACGACTGTTTGCATGCAACAGTGGGTCCTTATTGAAGCATACTTTAAGGGTTTGGAAAAAGCACCAGAAACAGGAAAATCAAGAGCGAGAAGGCACGTAATAAAATATGACAGATAAATATTATAAACGGATGATGCACGATCGAGGAATTCAGAAAATTAATGTAAATTTATGTATGAGGCCATGCGTGAATTGCTGAGGGTTGTGTCTCCTCCTTTCTCCCGGCAGCCCTGCGCCAGTCGCTACCGGCAGATGATACTGGCGGACAGATGGTATGGCTCTTCTATGGCAGATACTACGTTTTACTTCCAGTCAATGGATCGATGGCACAGCAGGCCATGACTATGCCACATACGGAATGCACTGTTGAATATAAACGAGCTAGAATTAGCAGTCGATTAACAGTGTATGAAAGAGCAAATCCAGCGTTGTGAAGAAATAGCGATAAGTTATTTTGTGCGCACACCGTGCTTCATGATTCAAAGTAAATCGTCGTATTTACAGAGGCATGTTTAATTGACCACAAAGCTTCAATGTGTTGAAGAGATAGATCCTTGGTGCAGCCGCATGCTGCGGAAGTAATTTCATTCAAGAGTCAAATTGTGAAAACCTAGTAACCTTCAGAAATGAAATTACCAATATATGCAAATTATATCATCTCTCTGAACGAAGAATTACATCCAGCATTTGTCGTAGTTTAATGCACGAATCTTTTAAAATATTTTTGCTCCAGAGTATCTGATCGATGAAACGCTTTATTGTACAAGCCGTAACAAGAATTACCGATGAGAAATCCGTAGGAGAAGCATAGAAACGATAAGGAGGGGGCAAATACGCTGATCAGAAATCCTGAGCATGCGAGAGTAGCGCCAATAAAACCAACCACTCGGAAGCCGAACGTGTTCGCGATGGCGCTGCCAAACGGTCCTAAAAGCTGAAAGTCAATGCTATTCTGAACGAAAAAACAAAAGCAGAAGTTAAGTGAGAGTGATTTTCATTCTTAG